CGCGCAAGTGCTGCCGCTACATTAAGGTTAAAGAGAGTGCCTATCAATTACCAAAAATGCATCACCTCTCAAATGACAGCAGTGCTTCACTAGAAGTTCCATCACAAGGGGGGCACATATCAGTTAGCAATTAGGAGGCAAGTCACATCATCAACAAAATCCACAGAACAAAGGGATAGCAGATGCTATTTAAAAGGTAGTGGATCAGCTGCTGGAAATAGCAAGTGCCACTCTATGTTAACCAGTTATCATTACATTTTATTACATGAAAAACTGATGGGGGGGCGGATTTTTTCCCGCATATTTTTAACCGTGCAATTGTGCTTTGACCCGAGTAAACATGACGTGTCAATAAATCAATGAAAAAAGAATTCTTATATTAGTGTATACGAACTCTGTGGAACAAATAATATTATGTGTTTACGTCGTCTACCATCACGTGGTTAACCCCTTCACGCCGGAAAGCGGCTATAGCCACCGTAAAAATTGAGATCCTCAGCCCGCTTTTCAGCTATTATTCTCGGCCCACACTCGAGCGAACACAGTGAAAGAAGGCAAACCCTGGCTCTTGTGTATATGGTAATTTGTCTTTGTGCGTAGCCAAGAAATGAAAAGACCAAATTTGCATCATAATCACCAGCTTCACAATAGTCCCCACTTTGGAAAGAGGCAACGGGAATGTGGAAGGGTGAGTAGAGCCGCATGCCACCGAACAATCAGCCTTTTCAAGCTGGGCCACAAACCGAGAATTTGCGGTTTGGCAGGTGGCCTTCGTGGCCAAGCGAGGCTGGAATTCTTGGAGTCAGCTTTCAGAAAGAAATTCCTGTGGTCAAGGGGCTAAGCAAAAGAGGATAAACAAGCCATGTTGACTGGCATGGTGGTGCAAGAACTACAAAAAAAGAGCATTTCAAAGGCTGTACTGTCAGTGCAACTCTGACTCAACCACATGAAACAAAAAAGACAAAACACCCATGAGACAACGAAAACACTGATAAAAAGACTCACAGGGAGAAAAGATAACATCTGAGAACACGCAAACTATATGGCTTGTGAAGTGGTGAAGAATGGATGGCAGCATGGCAAAAAAGGAGAGCTTGGGGAAAGCTCTCTCCATACTTAGCATGCGCTATTTGAAAAATGAGGAAGTGTCAAGGTGAGTGGCCAGAAAAGTAGTGTGGGAAATAAATATCTTGGCAAATGGTTTGCATCCTTTAGGAGATGCTGTCCAGGATCAGTACTCCCAAGGAATTCAAACTCACTGGCTTCTCCCATAACAATGTTTTGAGTTTATCAGTATCCCCTGCTATTGTTATTTGTAAAGACATGTCTTCTGTACATCTTTCATAATGGTCTATCAAAAGGTAAGTATTAGCCACCTCTTTACACGTGTATACAAATGATGAAAGTTTATGAGCACAACGGTGAGAATAATCTCATGAGGTGAAAATGAAATGTTCGATTCCATGAGGCAAAGCCAGGTGAAATACATGTACAACATTTCATCTCTCACCTCCATGAAATTATTTTTGCCACTGAACGAATTTGAAACATTACTTGTATTATACAATAACTGTATAAAACTTCTGTTAAAACCAACAGATGTAGGTCCCACTTGTACATGTATATTAGTATCTGTCAGGTTTTGCCCTTAACTTTTTTTCTCACTTGCCAGCCGGACCTGCAGTGATACATGTACATGTAGCCTTTTACTAGTCCGCCAGCATTTTCACTAGTCCGCTTCTTCTCCCAAATTTCAACAGTCTTTTTGGCGCTAGTGTTTTCTGCTCCAAACATCATGCGTAACAGTGTGCACTCAGTGCTGACTGTTGTTTAATTGTGGATGAGTAATCATAAATGGCCATGGGAATTATGAATTTTCAGAGTATAATTCTACTCGAGCAAATTAACACACAAAGTGGGTTACCTAGTGAAAACAGTTTGTTTAATCAACAGTCCAAGAGGAAAAAAACATCATTATGCACAATTTATGTACGTGTACATGTACATTTTACGCAGTATGCACATGTACATGCACGTGTACGCCCGGCGAAATGTAGGCCTACATGTGCATACAGCGCATGTTAACAAATGGTTTCATTTCTACGTGTTAGCTCATTAATATTTTGTGATCCCATGGGGTGTTTACAATAAGACATGCAATACTCAGGACGTATCATAGAAATATTTCTATAAATCCCAAATTTGGGACTGATAATTTCCAGTTCGGGGTATTTCTTTCATAAGTGGAGGAGGCTACATTCAAAGCTGAGCGCATAGTTTTACTACTATTTTGGAGGTACATAAAGCTTCGGGGAAAAGGTGAATAAAAAAATTTCGAGACTACCTCCCATTAAAATTGAAAGGAAAAGTGATCTTCTGGCCACAATCTTGAAGTTCCAGTGAAAAAACGGAGGCCAACCTCTTCCCAAGAGTCAAAAGGTAGCACTATTTTGGTCTGATTTTGCAATGTTTTCCATGGGCGCATATTTGGTGTAGTGCAACCCGCAGCGCGCCAACCAAACACGAAACACGTAAGTGCGATCACGCCGCAAAGGCGTTGCGGAACAAAAATTTCAGACGATTTACTGCTGCTGCATTCATAGACTTCAGTATTACTTCTGCTAGGCTGGTGCCAGGGACCGAACTATGCTTGGTTGCAAAAGGTTATATTTTATTTAGTTATTCCAGCAGCAGCAAGAGGGCATACATCACAATCAACTATTTCGCTGCTTATTTCAGAATATTGTTTTATTAGACCGCCAGACTACCCAGACGAGGACTTTCACTAGACTGCCACGGTTTTAAGTCGAATTTGGCCAGCGGACCAGCGTTAAGGACAAACCCTGGTAACTATCATAATGCCAAAAAGATTCATGTCTGAAGTACTACCCACTTCATATTCCATTGCAATGTTGGACTGGTTTCTGTCAAAACATTTTCCTCTTTCTTACCAGAAACAAGATACATGTATATGAAATGAGAATTGAACCGGTCAAATAAAATGAAGTTCTATTCAACAGGTACCATTGAATAGAACAAATAATTCAATGACATGTCATCAATGTTTCACAAATCAGATGACAGGGATTTAAGCAGGTGCTGTTTAAAACAATTAAATGACACATAAATGATCACCGACAGATAGTCGGATGACGAACAGCACTCATGGAGCATGACAATTGCACAGCACGTTACTCTATTTAGAAGTGAAAACTGGATGCCTTCTGTCACCACTTTTACTTTGAAAGAGTTAGAGATAAGAGACTAGAGAACTCTGAGATTAGACGAGCTTAATTTCAAACAGTTGTTACATTGGTAACTTTTACCATCTGTCATAACCTGTAGAGTAAGTCATTTACTCTGTAAGAATAACACACACCTCTGTATTCAGCCTTGTAAGATGAATAACAATGTCAATTTGGAATCCACATGCAGGGAAATAGCTGTTCATTTTTAGGGAACCCATGTGACAATTGACACCATCAAAATATTGCACCAACCTCATGGGATTTCTAAATCTTTTGAAAGTGTGAAACACTGTACAATTAAACTGCACATGATTTCTTCAAAATAAGATTACTTGGAACTTTCAGTCTACAGCAGTCCCTTTATCAGAGAACAGGCACACAAATAACAAGTGCCTCATTTATGAACCAAGTGTTCATACCTGATTATTCTCGTTATCTTGGCACTGGTTCTTGTTTGCATCAGAATCATCATCCTTGTGCTCTATCCATGTCAGGTTTCCAGTAAAATATCCCAGCAAACGTTTGATGATTTTCACGAAAAATCTTTGATCAGAACTAATGTACACACCAACGAAGGCATCAGGTAAAGCCTTGGCTGCAAATAAAATCATAAAACAAAACCAACTGTGAAAATGATTCCCATTTTCAAAGGTCATTCAGTTATGGCACCAAATCGATTGATCATGTCAGTAAGATATTTATACATAATGTGACAAAGAAGAAACATCCACATAGAATAATATTTATTTTTAATGATGGAGGAGAGGTTTGAAATAACAAAACTTCCAGTTGGTGACAAACCATTTTTAAGAAACTGACTTACGTGTTGGTTTTTTTTTTAAAAAAAAAACCCCAAAACAGTATCAAAGGATTACTTTAAAAAAACAACAAAGAACACCAATGAGAACAAAACAAAGAACTCATCAGGAAACAAACTGAGACAAATCACTTAACAGGTTAAATACACTACTGTTTGCATCCCCAGAAAAATCCATGTTTAATCTTATTTCTGTAAAAGCTCTACAAATTTCACAACAGAAATACTGATTCAATATCCCTTTTGTGCTTGTAATTGTTCACAGTTACATATTTACATGTACCTGTATTGGTATAGGAAAAGTGAATGAAACGATCCAATACAAAAGAACACTAAGACTTTTTGTTCATTAGACCGGAGACCCAGACCAAAAACATACACGGTACATATCATGTACTCAGGACAACAACAAAACACATATTACATGTATATTAAATATTCTCATAAACCTTGACTTGCATCACATCAAGCCACATAATAACTTACACAGTCCATCAGACTCTTTTTGCGAGACAATGGAATGGAAGAGAGGACAGCTGGTATTCACCAAGAAACAATGAAACATCTCGTGGATCTGCATGGACAAATCATATTGGCTCAAGTATCAGGTTAAAGGTACATGCACATGTTTCAGCTGCACACTGTCATTTATTAATCATGTTGTAGCCGGCAGATGTGTCACCAACCATTAATGTATCATTGAAAAATTAAATTAACACAAACTCCGGAAACTATGATCGGGGGTGTTATTCTGTAATGACAGTGTTAAAAATATGCTTGCTTGGCCCGGGCTATCAATAGAAAGATTAGATATACCGGTAACAAAGTGAAAAGTGGCTGTGGCAAGTTTCTGCAAATCTACTCCTTATAGGAGCCATCTTGGTATTTTATGACATTTGTGCATTAAGCAGTACACTTGAGCAATTAAAGGCGGATAGTTCTTTCAATTCAAGATACAGGTGTGATCAGAATACATGAATACTGGTATCTCAGATGCGCTGTGATAATAGAAAATGAAAAGTTACCTTCACTTTGAAAGTTATTTCAATCACCAGAAAGATTTCACATTATCATTATGCTTACAAGCGACCATACCGGTACATGTAGTTCAGGCCCATGGGCATGATGGGCTTCAGTTACGAAAATTTACAAATTACATGAGGATCAATCTGTATTAAGATTTATAGGAAATAGAGAAATTGTGTAATGAGTGCGGGAACATTATCAATAAGATGCTCCTTGGCCATGGCTAGCATATATAATAACATTAGCCTGGGACCCACCAAATTAACAAAGAATTCTCTAAACTGATTGGTTGCAAATGTCATGAACAGCAATGAAGTTATTTGAATGGAAGGGGGTTTCAAGAATGAATCTAAAAACAAATGGGGAAAGACGTTTTTCGTCTACGTTTTTTGTCCACCATTTTAACTTGTGATCACTCAATATTGTAGTGAATAAATATTAATAAATGATACCCCTAGTCAAAATGGTTTATTCAAACCAATTGATTTATGAATTGGATTTAATTGGAATGAATTGGGTCCAATTCACGATCAATTGGTTCTCAATTGATTTCAGTTGGTATATTTTCTCTCCCATTTGTTTCCCCCATCAATCAGAGATTTCAAATGGGTCGCAATTGGTTTCAGTTGGCATTTTCCCCAATCAATTGGAATTTCATACGGGAATCAGATGGTTCCAATGGGTATGCTTTCTCTGGTTGTTTTCCTTAATCAATTGCTTTCAGCTTGTTTCCCCCATCAAATGGATTTTTCAAATGGCAGTTTGAATTGGTATTGAAACGGGTTCAATTGGTTCTTCACTTGGTTATAATTGGATTGTGAATCGACATTCAAATGGTGTCAGTTGGTTGTAAATGGTCCGTCTGAGCAAAGGTCCCAATTTACAATTCAAACCAACTGAACCCAATTGGATTCCAAATGATGCCAAGCAAAAGCAATTGATTTTGGAGTCGGTTATTGCATTTTTAAGTGATTTGGATCCATTTGGTACATGCATATGTAAATTGGATCCAATGGGTAACTGAATTGGTCTCAATAGATACGTGAATTGGGCATTTTCATCCTGTATCACTTGTCAACAGATAAAAGATCTATCTACAACGCATCAACATTTACCAATAATGGTACACATGGGAAAAGGCTACTTGTATATAAAGAACTCTTTCTGTCTGATAAAAATTGCTTGCGTCATGCACACAACTCAAGTGTCTAAAAGTTTTCGGAGGGGGGGGAATAACTGTGCATGCCTCAATGGTTGGCAGACCCAAATCTGGGATTTCATGCAGAGTACACAAGTATATGTAGCTGTTCTCAAGCTGACTCGGAAAGTATGTGATGTCCATTGGATTTGTTACAGACATTCCTTATCAAAAACTTGAAATGATAGTGCGAGTCCATCAGATCCGATGACAACATCGCCTAAAGTCTCGCACCCTCTCTGGACACCTCTCTCTTGCTTAGCATGAGCACGCTGATGGCTTTGTAAGCCCGTAAGCGACGGGCATCTCCTGCTACAGATGTCACATGGGTAATTAGCAGAAGGGGGAACAGCACGACGCCGAGCACGTTTGGCACTGGCTGCTGCTTCATACTTCTCTATAAATATCTGTTGACCCCTGTCGACACAGGGACCAGAACTGAGGTCCTATCCATAGTGGTAGCCTCTAGAGTCTCAGGTGGGATTCCACACCACTTCAAGGTGGCTTTTGTATGATCTTTGTAGCACTTTTGTTGGCCACCGACCGAGCATTGACCATTGGAGAGCTCACCATAGAGGACTTGACGTGGTAGTCTAGCCGGGCTCATGCGAATTGTGTGGCAAACCCAGCGAAGCTGGTGGTGCAATATTATAGATTCCAATGGCTGCACATAAAGACGGGAGCGTACTACTGTATTAGAGATGCGCTACCACAACTTCACTCCCAGGATTCTCCGTAGACAGCTGTTCTAATATTTCTCGAGGTCATGGAGCTGGAAGCGATATGGGGTCCAAGATTTGCAGCCACATAGAAGGACACACACAGCGTTGAAAACAGCTATCATGGTGTGTAGTGCAAGGTCATGGCTAAAGAAGACACGGGCAGACAGGCAGCCAAACGCATTGCAGCTCTACCAATCCTGCGGTTGATCTTGACGGTAGCATCAAGCCTGTTAGAGAGCTCTGAGCCAAGGTAGGTGAAGGAGTTAGAATTTTTCAGGTTCTGCTATTAACTTATATATGCAGCACTGCTTGCTCGCTGTCACTGTTCACGAGTTGCTGGAGCACCTCAGTCTTGTTAGTATTGATGACAAGACCAGCTCGGGAGTATACTGACGAAAGCACATCCAGTGTATGCTGGGGGCTTGCAGAGGAGTGGCTCACTAGCACAGCATCATCGGCGTACTGAAGATCGAGTACCGGTACACAGGTTTGCTTTGTGTGTGTGCGAGCCCGTAGACACCGAAGATAAACAGGCTGCCGTCTAAATTGTAATTTATTGGTACACCTATGTTAGTTGTGCCAGCAACTTGGCTGTAGACCAGGCGCATGATAAAGGCCGGGAAGAGGTAGAAATTGAATAGCACAGGGGCCAGGACACAGCTTGTTTGACTCCCACAGTGACTGGGAAAGATTCTGACAGCTCTCCAATATGACGGACATTAGTAGACATACCATCATGGAATGCGTGAAGCACAGCTACAAAACATCGAGGACAGTCGATTTTAAGCATGACTTCCCACAGGAGATTGCGATTTATCACATCAAAGGCCTTTGTCAAGTCGATGAGAGCTGCATACAGGTCGCGGCGCTGTTCCCAGCTCTTCTCCTGGAGTTGACGCATCACGAAGATCGTGTCGTTGGTCGAGCAAAGCCGGAAGCCACACTGAGTTTTGGGAAGGATCCTATCAGCCACAGTGGTCAAGAGCCAGTCAAGCATCACTCGGGCCAGAACCTTGCCAGCAGTTGAAAGAAGGGAAATCCCACGGCTGTGTCCGCAGACTGTCTTATTACCTTTGCACTTGTACATGTACACGATGTTCGTGTCCCTCCAGGATTTCGGGACAGCCATCTCTTCCCAGCATGAGACCAAGAGTCTATGCAGCTCCTTTGGTCGATCCACTACAACTTTGTTGCACAGTCCATGTCAAACCCCTGATAATGCACTGTGCTAACTCACACTAACCGAGTTTTACATAAAGAGCAAAATGCACAAATGCAACACTTACTGTAAATTCGAAGTTTGCTTGAAAATAAACTCATTTATCACACTGGCACTCATTGAACACAGAATAATGTAGTGCATCTGTGCCATGTATACCATGATGTCAAAGGCACTGGGGTGATAACTAATATGGTCATTCACTTAACAAGATATACTTACATGTAAATACTGAATTCAACATGACCAGACGGCATTATATATATGCCCAGAATCTATATCCATCCCCTCAATATGCTGTCAAAATTCTCAGCCAGATGCATGGCAAAAACGCAAGCGGTCTTTAGCAATGGCTCTTCCACCTTCCTTCTTTCTATCCAACCAAATAAAAAATGTCCACTTATGTCCTCACTCAGTCCAAACTTATACACGTACATGTACCAGTTCTCATGACCTAACACCTCCAACATAACCCTTAAATGACCTTTAGTTTTATAATAAGGAAACCAGTCAGGGGTACCTGCAACTCACAGGTACTGGTACCAACAGTACGGTATCCTTACGGTAACACTACCATGGCTTTAGACCCGTAAACAGGGCCCGACAAACACTCCTCTGTTGTGTCTCTGTTGTGTCCTGGGCCGTGTCCCGATTAATAGGGATTTCTTTCGAAAACATCGGGACATCCAGGGGCATAACTAAACATCGGCGTAATTTTTTGAGTTGAAATTGCACCACTGTAAAAAATCCACTAGGTTGCTAATTGTAGAAAACTCGCCTTTCCTCAATTGGGGAAAAAATGTTGCCCTTTTTGCCGTTTGCCCACTCCGTACGAATTACGCCTGGCTTGTACATTGCAGAGACTCCTTTATATGGTTAAGTAATTGTACCCTGTACAAGAGCCTGTCAAGATTACACCCAGGCTTCAGCACCTACGGATCTCGTTCAGATCTGCAAGAGTACCTGTCGATCTAAGGGAGCCCGGTGGACAGACTGATGCGTGAAAGCCTTTCAAAGGCTGAGAGCAGAAGTTCCTGCTGTGTGTCCAAATCCTCTAACAAAAGGTAGCATGGCAATCATTAATGCTGAGCTTCAGACCCTCCTGGCCTCACCTCGGCTCAGCCAAGCGTAGCTCATTATCTTGGTTCTTTGTCAGGGGAGTATTGTGAACTAACTGGAGTCAACATATGGATTTCCTTTGAGGAGCCCACAGAATCATTCTCGGACGTGAAGAAAGGAATGCCAATCAATAAAGTTGGGCCCTCTGGGGGCCTGACCAGACCAGTGCAGTACACTTCTCAGGGGTCGAAATTGGTGGTCCGCTGGCCCGAGAATAGACCTGTAGAAAAGTCGTCCGACCAGCTGATCTATGGTATGGGCCAGATGAAATCTGACGTCGTTTCTGTCTTCACTAACATCTTTCAATAATCTTTTTTCACATTAAAATGCTTGTTTTTATATGTCTTCCTTCTTGCATTTTCCATTTTTGAAAAAAGGCGTTATTTTCCCGAGTTCCAATTCAAGTTTTGCTGTTGCAATGGGGAAAACAAGCTCCATGCACAAAAAAGGTGCTCTGGTTCCCGCCGCGCCCATGCAAAAAAATGTGTAATGGAAATGTAGGAACCAGAACCAGTCTGCACCAAACACGTCAGGTACATGTACTGTACTGCAACCCTAAAGGCTGCGGGTCGAAAAGACACTGATGTTGGAAGAGGTTTCCTGCAGTTCACAGAACTTGGTCTCTTATTTATGTATGTATTTTCTGCATTAATGAGTTTAATTTGAGGTTGTTCTGCTCATGGCACAAGGTTTATCGCCCGCTGGTCCAGATGCATCACGCACGCTTACCACGCCATACACACAGACATTGTTGGCCAGTTTTCCGTTGCGGTCACCTGAGTAGCACTGTGTGAATCCTGTATAATTTTTTGTGAATTGCCGAATGTAGAAATGTTTACATAGCTTAAGACAGGTGTTTCACTTTTTGAGATAATTTTGGAAGATGTTTCCTGTTGATGCCATTCAATCAGCACACAGATTGTCCCCAAAACAAAAAGCAAAAAAAAAAAAGAAAATCCGACCTAGGCCTACCGACCTTACTTTTGAGACGTATAGCACAATTGTGTTGGGGCGTAATAAAGACTGCCTGTGTTGGAGTAGGCGTATTATAGAGTCCTATATATAAAGGAAACTAGCGACATACTGGAATGGAGAGCGAGACAGTTTTTGAGAGTCGAAGAATTCTCTGCCTTCTAATAGATCAACATTTTAATCATAATATAAACAATCAACAAATTACACGAATAATCAGCCAAGTTGTGCGGTAAACTGAACAGCAATACATTAGTCGGTAATTTTCAATCATACGCCAATGACAAACGTATTCCAAGGTCTTTAATCTTTAAATTCAACCATAATTCAGTATTCTTTATAACATTGGCATATTGGAAACATGAGAAAAATCAATAAGGAATTATTTCTATCACTTGAGTACAAACTTTTGAATTTTGGAAGAATGCATCATAAATATATTACAAGAATGCATTATGCAAGGTCATATTTTTTCAATACCGGTAATATCGAGACCGAAATTCTTCAAAGATGTCACTGAAGTTTTTGCTCATGGACGCCTTGATTAATGGCCAACAGCCGTGCAGAACGGACAAGACTACAGCAGCAAAACAGAACAAGAACTCTCAGAAAATTACGGCTGTTTTGTGTCGCAGCTAATACGCAACGCCTTTGGCTGTTTCCCTGTCCAGTCACACACTGTTTGCAGCAAATAATTGGTAGCGTGGCTCGCTTTCTGTAACGTGACATGAAAGTGACGAAACAGCCGTCGCTTTTGTGCAAGTGGGGGCAAACTTCGGGATGGGAAAACGGCAAAAAAAGGCAAAATTTTTCTCTCAAATGAGGAAAAGGCAAGTTTTCTACAATTAACAACCTAGTGGATGGTTTACACTGTAAGTAGTGAACATACCGGTGCAATTTCAGCTCATAAAATCAAGCGGATGTTTAGTTATGGCCCCAGATGTCCCGGATAACTTTTTCCCTATGAATCGGGACAAGGCCCAGTAAACAATGGAGGAGTATTCGTTGGGTCCTGTTTACAGGTCTACCATGGCCTATGCTCCACATAATCTTATGTAAAATTGGTTAAGATTTAAAAACTGGTGCCAACGTTCACGCTGTTAGTGACTGTGAGAAGTCTAGACGGTAAAGTAAATTTGGTTAAAAACTTTAAGACAATCGCATTTTGGATGAGGGGCAGACTCGATACAGCGTAAAAATATGACACACGCTAAAAGAAAAATTTAAAAAATCAATGTTTCCTTTATTTTTTTGTGTCATACCAGGACAAATAAGCTATTCAATCAAATCTGAACAAGTTTTGTTCGCACAAGTTCAATCCTAAATTTTCTAACAAAGAAAACGTCCCCTCAATAGGGTCAAAAGATTACTGGCATCCCACTCCATTTACAATTTCAACAACAAAAATTTCAGGAAAAGAAAACAAATTAATTAATGTAACTACCCACACTGTTTATTCAACATAATATGCAGCCACATTCATGCAAAACGCTCACTTACTATTGATGCGTTGACACTGATGGACTCAGCATCTGTTTCGTTAGGTCTGGCTAACCTGTACAGAGCCCTTGCAACAGTTGTTGCTATTTTAGACAACTCCTTTGATTAAAACAGAAACAAAAATGTGTGAGTATAATCTTTCATGTACAGAACCAGTTGGGTCACATGTCAGTGTTGTGACAAGGAAAACAAAACATCCTCTTGGTGATGGTTTCACAGAACAGCATGAATTTAGATGTTTGGCCCTGGCACAGAAATATTGTAACACACCATCATTTCATACCATAGAGTTGAATTCATAATGAGGTACATTTACATGTACCGTACTGTGTGTGTTCAAAATAAAGGCCTCTTAACGTACTACAGTATATTACGTACAGCAAACTTTGACTATGTGGGCATCACGTAACTCGTCATAACATCTAAGTCGGCCTTTTGAAAAAGTCCCTATCGTCTGTAATGCATTTCCATTAAAATGGCATTTATAAGTCGTCATTTTGTATAAGTCGGCATGCTTTTCTCAGTCCCTTTTCCACAAAACCACCAAAATTCCTTTGTGTAAGTTGGCATTAAAACAAACCGTGCTTCAGTATCAGTTTCCTTTGCTGCGGTTGCCGAGAAGTGTCAAGTTCCACACTGCTTGACTGATGTCTGTTTATTAGCAGCACAGGCAGTGGTTCATAATCGGCCAGCATGAGTACATCAATACCAGTAACCCCTCTAGGGCTACATGCATGCTCTCTGTCCATTTTGGGGGTCGCCTTATTGAACAAACTTAACCAATGCATATGCAGATATGAGAGTATGTTTTTTTCTGTACCGTAACTGTATCAAGTACATGTATGTACTGCACTGTCAAGTCGTGATGTGACATGCAAGTCACTTGCCATCTCTTCTTCATCCTTACAGGCATGTGATCAATTGTCGAATTTGCAGCCCGTAAGGATAATAATCGAGAACGAATTTGCCTGGATTGACCATGGAGGTGGAAATAAACCAGGATAAATCGAAGCCATTGAATCAGTGCAATCATAATGTACATAGGCAAAACAAGTGTACGTGTAAGTCAGCAAAATGATGACTTGTGCCAATGTCGGCATTCGTGTAAGTTGTCATAATTTCTTGAGTCCTGAGAGTGCCGACTTAGCCAGAGTTTACTGTATTTTCAGAATACACCTTGTCTTACCACTGCTGCTAGCGACACACCGGAAATATCATCCTTGTCAATCTTGATCAACTCAGGAGAATCAAACCTACTGTTGTAGTATCTGTGTATAATATCAAAGTAAAACACAGGGATATAGTTATGGTACATGTACAGTACATCTGTGCTGTAAATATCTATGCATGCACAATGTTAACCTGTATCAAAAGTATTCTCACCTTACTGGATATTGAGTGTCACAAATTTATACTTTTTTCACCTAACACATAACAAATTGTATGCATTTCACTCAGTATTTATACAAAATTTGGTAACTTGCCCCACTGTTTGTCTCAGTAGGCTTTCAACCCTCCGTGCCATTACACAGAGCCTCAAATCTATGTATCCCTGCCTTGGAACAAAGTACAAAGCAGTATTCAATTCATCCTGCATTAGATATTAGGTGATAAATAGGGCCTTTTTCATAAAACACAATTTTTTATTACATCTTATAAATGCTGGCATGGCTTATCTGACTCAAACCCGCCAGCCGAAACAAGCAATATTGTTGTAAAGGTGGTTATTAAAGTGGTAAAGACGTCTGCATTAATACATGCAAGTTTGTGAATTGTTTGCAAGCCCTCAGAAAACACTACAGCAAATACATGTTGAGTGTTTATACTGGTAGATATTCAAATGTTGGTGAAGGGCAAACAGAAAATAGTGCCTTTCCCTGGATACCATCAGACAAATTTCAGTTATAAAGAAAATAAATTGGGCCTATTTCTGAAATATTAAGTACAGTTTGGGCACCCAGCTTTTCTGATATTGGAAGACATGCTTTCCATTTTATACACTGGAAAGATGTTACATTATGTTGGCCTGGGTCACCACAAATTGATGGATCACACACAGTGCTGGATCAGCCATTTGCAATAAATGAGTGCTCTCAGTTGACTGTTTTCTTCTATCAAATATTTGTATTTACCTTTGCTCAGCAATGGTAAATTACTTTGCTGATGAAACATCACACACGTCATTTTAAAACAGGGCAAAAACAAAACAGCTTTGAAACATTTGGAGGATTTGTGCAGGTATTACCATGGTGGAAAGCTACCATATAGCACTTGATGCAGTTACTGTGCAATGCAGACCTTTGATCTTGATGATGTAATCACCTTGCTTGGGTATTGCAAATATTTCAGTTTACAATTACTGATTAAAAGTTGTTTCAAACCAAACAAGCAATTTAATCACATACATGTTTTTTCCCAATACGCAATAATCATTAGTGCAGTGATAAACTGTAATATCCTACATAAATGTGCATGTACAGTTTTACAATATTTTGGCAAGTTCCAGGAGATTCGCACTAATGATGGTCGATTGTGTGGGGTTTCCAATACAGCATATTTTTGCCTGGACAAATTTTTTTTAGTTTGAAAGTCAATAACGGGGGGCAATTTTAAACCTCCCGTTATTGACTACAGTGTATCCACACTGCGAATTGGATGAAGAAAGCAGCTTTAACTGTGAACACACCTTTTGGGCAGTTCAGGTGAAAGTGACTCCCTTTTGGCTGAAAGAAAGCTCAGAAATTTTTCCAAAGAGGCTACAACAAGCCTTGGTCGACCTTGAAGGCGTAGAGTGTACATGTAGACAACGATATCACTGTCTTTGGGGTTGGTGACTCCAAGCAGAAAGCCAAAAAGAATCACAAACAAAGGTTAAAAGCCCTCCTTAACCACTTGCTGCCAGGTGCTTTGAAAAATGCAGTGCACACATACATGTATGGATGATTTTCAAGATTGTCAGTTTCCAAAATTTTTCAAAAATTCATTATTTCATTTAATGGACGTTTACACCCACACGAATGACTGTCTGGTGCTCACTCTAGTCTGACGGACAAAATCTACTGACGCCCGAGTATTCAAACCAGGACTGCAGCCTTGTAAAAAGAGCCCAGATTGTGCGGTATTATGTACGATTCTTCTATTCCCGAAACCAGCAAGTGCACTGCTGGCGTCTTTTCAATACGGGCCAGATTAGCGTGCAGCGGTATTGTATCGCTCATTGCTGGAGAGCTTTTGTCCCCGGTGGTAATCTGCTTGCGCTGAATGCCACAAATAGATGGATTTCCTCCGATATTGACAACTAAAAAAATGTTGGTAATCCCCAGCAGCTCAGTCTTTTGTGCCGAGCATGGTCTTTTGTTACAAGACCCAGCACTTTTGTCCCGGTTTTGGGCTCCCTGGCTTTGTGTTTAAAGCCTATGTGCTCGAAAACGGGTCCCCCGGCAGCAAGTGGTTTAGAGATGTAAAGAGATGGGCATCAGTCTCAACAGATGAAAGTCGGTGTTTGAGACAGGTGTGGCATTCCTTAGACATGTCACAGAACAAGGTCTAAAGCAAGCTCCAAAAAGATACAAGCCATAACAAATTTCCCAAATCCAACTCATGCCACAGAAGTACAGAGACTGCGGGGAAGTGTTAAGTACATGTACTTGGCAAGATTCCTACCACAATTGTCTGAGATCTTAAACCACTCCAAAGACCTACACGCAAGGGAGAACCCTGGCAGTGGGAAGATGAACAACAGAAAGCAATGCGCGAAATCAAACAGATGCTGACAAAGGCTCCAATTCTTTCATTATGAAATCCAGTAAAGGCTGACTATAGAATGTGATGCCAGCAAGTTAGGCCTTCACACCGCACTACTTCAGGAAGGTTACCCAATGCCATATGCTAGCAAAGCCTTGACCAAAATAGAGCAATAATATGCTAAGATGGAGAAAGAGGCACTAGCAGTCATGTTCTTACTCAACAGATTCCATCAGTACTCCTTTGGAAGACATGTTAAGTTCCAAACTGACCACTGGCTGGTCCGCTAGCCAAATTTTAGTCAAGACGTCCCCGCGGCAGCAATCCTAGCATACACACTCGAGCTCAGTGTGCTCAAAATCACAAGAATATAAACTCGCTGTGAGGTGGGGATTTTTCCCATCAGTTTTGGACCTTTGAGCTGGAAAACCTACCTTAAAAAATCACTCTGTTTGTGACAATATTAGGACCAAACTGAATAGCAAAGATCGTACCGAAATGAAAGGAGTCGGGTCTGCACTAACGCTAGCGACGTTCATCACCTGCTGCACACGACAGACAAAGTAGTGCCCATGTGAACTTCATAAATACACATGAAGTGTGACGTGTAAGGGCTGTGGCTTTGCATTTGCTGGCACTGTATTGAAATCAATATGCAATACACTTGTTTCGATTTATGATTGATAATTGGGATGAAAGCGCTGGGGTGGCTGTACACAAAGTTTCATGATTGATTGGTTGCTGCATGGTCGCGGCATGGTCGCGGCACATGTGGCAGTAAATGAAAAAGTCAAGTTAAAATTTACGCAAGTTCAGAGGGTGTTTTTTTGAATTGACCGGAATTCTGATACATGAACTAAATTTCCATAATATAAAACATACTTCATTGTAAAATCAGCTTGTTGTAATAGTTCTGGCTGAGGAATGGATTTCTTTTGTGGTTACTGTTTATTTGTGAAAAAAGTTCTCGCCAAATCGGTAATTGCTTTAAACCGATCTAGCATTAGAACCAGCAAGAAAAGCGTTGTCGTCCTCACTCCAGTCGATCCCGTGAGTTTACAATTCAAAGCTTACATTTGAAAAAAAAATATTGAGGTACTAGCTAAACACATACGGTGGATTATACTGGCCAGTTAATCATTGAAATTTGACATTTTCCAGATGTAATCTGACTGAAGAACAACTTTCCCGATCCAAAAGAAAAAGAAAACAGTTGTGATAGTGATACATATTTCGATACTTCAAGACAGTCATCTTGCCAGCCAGGCACTACACGCTCATGCAAGTAATTTAACTTATTCAGTGCACTGCCATACATTGTACAATGTACATGCACATAACGTACACGCATACACGAAGCTGGAGCGACAGCTCTGCGTGTGCAGTGGTTCACTACAAGTTATCGGTCACCTTTGCAGTCTGCGGTCACTAGTCCTGCCAAGATAATGAAGTCCGGGGTCAGGCTTATCGTGCTTTGGACCAGCAATGCACGGTAAGACCGCAAAGCATGCACTGAACAGTGTGTCAGGTTCACTGATCATGTTAGCGTGTCGGCAAAAAAATTCTGACCTGTACTGTATGTTTGCTGTTACTGCACCTGTAGTTTCTAAATTACGGCAAAGACTAATTCAAACAATAAAAGTACTGGTGACTGTTTGAATTAATTCTTCCAAACTCTTAATGAGGAAAAATGGAACTCACTTGTTGCGATATTGCTTCTCATGATCTGCCAAAACAATACCCGGCACCTTGACTCCACTGCGTAGGAACTGCTGGAATGATGCCGGGGGCACAGGCTGAAGGTTGCTTGGTTTCTTGATGGTAATGTTAGTCCCAGATGAGGAGTCCTGTAAGCTTTCTAGCAAATGATCAACCTACACGTTCATGTAATGTTGATCCAAGAACAAACACACATACATAAATTGCAGTCATCAAATAAGACAGATCTTAGTAATCCATCAATGGCAGACAAATACATCACATGTATTGTACATTGTAGAATACACTGTTCCGTGTGGACAGCAACAGCTCACTGTGTATGCACATGTACGTCAAAATAAGGGCGAAATTAGTCACTTGCAAGAGTAAACTAACAAGCAAGCTCCCTCGTGACATGCAGTATCATACATGGTTCTTACATACATTTTACAAAAAGTTCAGACCCTCAAAAGGCCCATGGAAATCTCCAATTTGTATGTTATAATGTACATACCTGAATTTTTGTTGATGAATCTTCGTAGGTAATGGGATCAATGTGTGCATACACAGTGCCATTCTTTACCAATGCAAGCTGTTTTAATTCTAGGAAATACCCAATGTCCTCTAATTTGACAAAAGCAGGCTGAGTCTTGGATGCATCAGGAGTGTAAGGGAAACTACCATTCCGCATATCATACACCATCCGAGATGATCCAATGTAGTCATAGCTCTCCTATGAACAAAATTCAGAGCAACATCACTATTAAAAATTAATAAAAAAATTATCTACATTTTTATTTCTTAACATTGGAGAATGTACATGTACAGTGTACATGTACTTTGAGCTGTAATTCTACATACATGTACACGTATGTATAAAAGACAGCAAAACCAATCACTGTTTCAAAAAACATGAACAAAGCACTGATGTGAAGCCCCTCCCATACTTGTAAGCTACAAACAAAACTATATGGCTACTCGGAAACAAGTACTCGAGTTCAACACTGTTACAATATGTGGGAATATAACAGTGTACTTTTTTGAGTACAGAGTACTGCTGAGTACTTAAATTTCTGAGTACCTGGAAGTCCAAGTCCTTTGCCAGCCAAGTATAAGTACTGGCTTTTAAGTACAAGTATTTGTACATACATTACGAGTATGGCTACTTGTATCTCCGAGTACGAGTATTTCTAATTTGCTAAACAAACAAGCTGCACCAGGTATTTGATTCCATTTTGTACAAATTCTTGGTACTCTCTGAAGCCAAACTGTACTACTGTTAATACAGATGACTTGACTGTATGACAGCTACATGTATATGTACATGTCACCAGCGGTTTCAAATTCATACATGTAGCTTATTCAAAAGCCATAGTCAACATTAGGGAGGAGCAGCAGGCAACGTGTGCTTACACATGGCCATGTACATGAAAATGGGCACATACATGTATACTAGTGTATGAACTTTCTTAAGTTACTTTGTGCATAATGAAGACAGCATTACTTAGGGAGTGTGTACATGTCCTGTGATGTACATGTACATGTATATAACGTATATATTGATCAACAGTATGCTCAGTGCTTGTCCGAGAGCTTGCGTAATATTTACAAGCTTACTCGGTTGGGACTCGAACCCAGGACCCCCTATTTACTAATGCAGACGTCTTAACCACTCAGCCACAGAGCTTGCCGAGGTCGGCTGGCTAGTCTGAGTCAGGTGAAGCAGCGGGTACCGCGAACAATTTTTAAGATGTATTTTTGCGTTGGGAGATGTTACTTTATATAACAGGTTTTTGCCCTTACACAACGTACACTGATAAACACTGTATGCCCAGTGCTTCACAAACTTACTCGCAAGCTCTTGGACAAGCACTGAGCATACAGTATATATGCTTTTGCAAGTGTCAGCGACGCAGTAAACATGGTAAAGAAAGAGATTATGGGTACTCTCGCTGTGGCGTATATATTATAGGGCATATTGTACATGTATGTTGCTATATGTTAGGTGAGGGTGGACTGTCTTTGTATAGCAGAACAAACATTGTATGGTCTACAATTGTTCACTGGTACTTTGTACATGTGGGCCGTATCACTACAGTGACACTGGGCTGTTCAATACAATGTTGGTTAGGCTGTGTAGCATTAAGCTGTGAAGTGTGACTTGTGTCCAGTGTTGGTACATGTAAGTGATCTCATGTTTGGCAACATTGCTGATAGCATTCATGTGATGTCACATTGGTTTGTGCATTGCATAAGGAGTTGCACGAGGCGACCATAGTCAGTGCGTTGCTGATTGGCGTAACACAGTGCAATATTAGCTGTGCTAATAGCCTTTCTTCAAGACCACTCAAAGTAATACAGGCTGTAAATAAAGATTTACACAATGCATTTATTTGCCCTTAATCATTTAATCAATTAATTACTCGTTGCATGTCAAAATAAATCACATGCTCGAGGTTAAATACAATCAAATTCTCAGGTGTCCTTGTTGTTGTGTATTGTCTAATTGGCAGAAAGCATCACAGTCATCTTTAATAATCGGTGGTATACATGTGTAACTCCACTAAAATGGATCTGCTCCCTTTAATAGCCTTTAGGTCGCTTTGAATGATGTCTGGACCAAGGAAGAACTTGAGTTTAGGCAAATGCTGAGACCCCAACTGGTTTTAGACTAGACCCCTTGAACATACACGTAGGTACGGCCAGGGAATCCAGCCGTTACAAAATGGATCTTTACCAAGAAATACATGTAGTTTAAAGGGGACCAATAAAAAGTGTGAAACAAGACGCCATTTGTACACACTGCTACTAAAAGTGTGGGGACAACAAAGCAAACTTTGGTCTATTACTGGTAAAATTCACACCTACAATCATCAGGATATGTGTCTGTGATGCCAATATGCACATTACGCACACTCAAGATCAGGCTATTTTGGTCTTGTTGGTACTATTCATGTAAATGTAGTCTTGATCAAGGACCTGTTTATGATTCTTTGTTGGCCACACACCTACATGTACTACATAGACCATCTACTGCAGTTACATGTACAACCAATGCTGGTAAGAGATTAAAGAACATTGACAAACTTACAAACCCCTGCATGAGCTGATGCACAATTACATGTACCTTTTACAGTAACTGAGCACTGATAGTGTTCAGTAACTAAGCGCTGATAGTGTTCAGTAACTGAGCACTGATAGTGTTCAGTAACTAAGCGCTGATAGTGTTCAGTAACTAAGCGCTGATAATGTTCAGTAACTAAGCGCTGATAGTGTTCAGTAACTAAGCGCTGATAGTGTTCAGTAACTAAGCGCTGATAGTGTTCAGTAACTAAGCGCTGATAGTGTTCAGTAACTAAGCGCTGATAGTGTTCAGTAACTAAGCGCTGATAGTGTTCAGTAACTAAGCGCTGATAGTGTTCAGTAACTGAGCACTGATAGTGTTCAGTAACTAAGGGAGCCCNAGATAGTCATAAAATTGCTGCCGACTACAGTCCATGGCAAAGCTAGCAATGCTTCTCCATTTCCCATGAACTGTTGGCCGTTTAATTTGTAACCACACAATAAAAGAACTTTTTCCTCCGAATGTTGGGCAGCACTACGTATTACGGCCCTTAGGGCCTTACTCCGCTGGGGTCAATCGCCGTCCAAATTAATGTTTTAATCTATTTAAAATTCCAAGAGATCTGTTGATCTCTATTGGGCATGCATCATTCTCACGGAACACAAAATTTCACCGAGGAAATTTTTGTGCCTATGTTACAGTAGGCCAATGTTTAAAACTTTGTTTTTCATGATCTAACTACATGATTTTTTTTCCTTCAACAGACGACAGAACAGTGGCTCGGATGATGATGCCTCCCAATCAAGGGAGGAAATCGTCTACTGTTTATCGTCAGACGTTCGATGCACGGGTTATGCCAGCTATAAACAAGAAAAACGTCGGCAACGAGGACGACCATTTCTACACAGCAAGGGCGAACTACGTCTTGGAATTTGCGTCTATGGTAGGAGCAGAGGTGCTGGCCATGGACAACAAAGACAAAATCAAGGTCGGCCGTACAACCCTCGCAGTGGACCGAAGGACCAGAAATAAACGACTGTTCCCCCAAGACGACCGGCCAAATTACTACGACCACGATTTCCCGACCCCCAAATACTTGCTCACACCCTGCGGATACTTGCGTCTTACAACTGCAGAAGACCCAGCAGTGACAACTGATGAACACGGCAGAAAACACTATGCGTAAGTGTGAAAACTAGTTCATGATTGAATAGGCCTAAATGGGTACTTGTGCATGTATACAAGCGGAAACACAAAACAGACGGAAAGAAATTTTAAAATTGCTGTTAACAGCCTCACATTTCGACCCTAGCAGGATCTATATCAAAGGCAAAGAGAAGAACAATTCTAAGAGCATGTAATATAATCGCATGACAATTTGGTTTTCACGTGGCGACGAGAGAGAGGGAAGTGTATTCCTAAAAGAATAAGCAGTAAAAACGCGAGAAGGCGGGAAAGGACAAAACTTTAATACAGACAATGAAGATGTGACGATGTTATGTCACTAAATGGCGATGTTTCCTGGTATTCAAAACCCAGTGACCATTGCCATAGATGTAAAAATTATCTAAACGGCAATTTTAATCTTTCTACAGGCATCCAGAGGTCGGGCCATCGTTCTTAGTGAACAGAGGGCCACACGACGAGGTGACCATTGAAACCCACATCGGGGACGTACTTCAGATGGTCCATAGCATGGTAGCTGCTAGGAAGACCATCCTCGTTCTCATCGTCGACGGAGGATGTGATTACAACATCAACCATCCGGCCAAAGAAATCTTCTATGGTCGCCTTTTTAGGGACACCAATCTGGATGGCCTTGTCGTCACATCCTACTGTCCCGGGCACTCATCCCTCAATCCCATCGAACGGCTCTGGGGACAGGTCACCAAAGCGCTGTCATCAGTGTACCTTTTTGACACACTTCCAGGTATTAAATATTTGTTTGTCTTGCTGTGATTGTTTGATTTTGCTGTTTCGAGTTTTTACCTGGCAGCAATAGATATATACTATATTTACAAATAAACTAATTATCTGTATCATCAAAATTCACCCCCTTTCTAACTAGCTACATAACATGCATATGTATACTCCGTGTTTGCGACGTCTGACTGGTACCCGGCATTTGCGTGTTGTCATTATGGAAATGCACAAACCACTATTTCATTAAGCCATAAGTAATACACATCATGTAGAGGCGTTATAATAATTGTCGAGATTTTGCGGGTCCATTTCCATAAACCATCCGTTTCCTTTTTTAATTTCAGGAGAGGACCGCCCATCATGCTCCCAAACTGATCTGACTGAAGACCAGAAGCTTCAGAAGGAGCATCAAGTTTTTAACTTGGCTATGGGACGCCTCGAACGCTACCTCTGCGGTGTCAAATACTGTCAACAGCCGTTGACAGTATCCCATATCGAAAGTGGCACTGGGAGGGGTATTTATGGCGATTACCATGAGGTTAAACAAATAATCAACGCCTCCGCAAAGAAGCTCCGTGACAATCGTAATCTTCAGCAAGAGAATATTTTTCTTCACAACCACATGGACAAACGCAAAGGGCAGCTGATTCTTTCCAAGTGCCAAAAAGCGACTTGTGGCCATTGCTCCTCTCGACCATGTGTTGCCAAAACTCAGACCATGCAGATTCTCCGTGACTTTCCCACACCGGAGCCATCGACGTCTCTCCCAGGGCATTTT